TCCCCCGGCCCAGCCTCACGCTCCCAGGACGAGGGGAAGGGGCAGCACCTTCTCCGAGTGCTTGAAGTGCCTCCAGAACTGCGTGTACATCCGTTTGGTTGTCTTCTCCGGGTAGCAGGCCACTGTCTTAATGTAGATTTTCAAGCTGCGCTCCAAGAGCTGGTTGACCTCCCCGTAATCATAGTCGTCATAGCTGGGGGAGAGAGGAGGGCACGTTACTCCAAGCACAACCACTGCCAGCGGGTCTCTGCGTTAGTATTCACTACAACCCTTTCACGCAAGGTCGTTCCTAGGGGAAGAGCACGGCATTACCAGCTAGGTGGCTTGCAAAGCATGCTTGCTCGCACGCTGTGCTCCACCAGATCTATGTTGTGTCCCATCTTTTGGCCTCCAGCAGTGTTGTTCTTTTAGTCTTATCAACAGCAACAGCCTCATCGAGACTGGTGTCTGCTCTGACTTTCTCTGGAGGTGAGGATTAGGTTGGCTGGGCCTTCCCTGACCACAGTTCTTTGGCCAGACCCACAGACAGGTGAGAGCAGGTCGATAGTACCCACAAACATCCTTCCTCTGACACCCTCGCCAAGCACCACATACCCCACCCCTGCTGGCCTGAGGCTCATGCTTACTAGAAAGGATAGAGCCTCCAACACGCTTCCCTCTCCTTTAAGGGTCCTAATTTTATCCCCCGGGCAAACACAGTCAATCTGCCTTCATCCTAAAGGGCCTCTCCAAGCACCCTGTCCCCCAAGTACAGGGCCTAGACGTGGCCTCTTTGGGGAAACGGCTGCCATGGGAGGCCACCAGGGAAGGAACGTGGTGTGGGCAGGCTTGGCTGCTGCCCCTAGACCCAAAACAGGAACCTGCAGGACGGAGAGGCTCCTGGGCTTGCTAGGCAGGAGCCGCTCACGGGCATTGCCCAGCACAGAGCGTGCAGGCTCCTGGCACAGCTCAAGGGCACTTGGGACCTACCGGATCCCAAAGACGCAGTGGACGTAGTTCCAGATGGCCCTCCGGAGCATGGAGGTGTCTACACCGCAGTGCATGGCGATGGTGTTGTACGTCAGGTTGTAGACCACCTGGAACTTCTCATCCAGGAGCTGTCCCACATCGGGGTAGAGGCGGTTGATTAGTGAGTAGCCGTGATCTTCCCAGGTGTAATCCTGCCAGAGAAAGGATGTTGGGATGGAGGCTCTACAGGGAAAACACAGCGTCCCTTGAGAGCCAGGGGACCCGAGTGCCTGCAGATCTCATGTCCTGCCCCTCTCTGGCCTGATGCTTCCCTTCCCTGCGTTGCCAAGATCCCCTTGACAATTCACATCCATCTGAACCACACAGAGGCACCTTGGCCCAAGCACCGCTTGCGTGAAGGCTGCAGCTCGGCACCAGCCCGGCACCCTCCACACCAGCGTTGTCCGTGCAGCGCTACCACAGCGGGAGCAGCCCTGCTGTACCCCAGCCTGGGTGGCCCAGTCGCTGCTGAGCCCCAGTGTGGGACAGAGGGGGACAGTAGTACCAGCTGTGACACACAGCACCTGCCACCCAGCCCTGTCACCTGCTCTCCAGCTGGCTCGGGGCCCAAGGGCACCCACCTGCGCGCGGAAAGTGGGGGGTGCCTGCTCGCCCCGGCGTGTGAAGTCCTTGTAGCCGAACTCGGGGTCCTCCACGAAGCACAGGACGTTGGACTGCAGGGAGTGATCCGCAATATCTGTGGGACACCAGCGCGGTGGCCGTGAGCAAATGCGCCATGGGGCTGCCCCAGATGTTCCCAGCCAGAGGTTGGGGGGCAGAGCTAGCCCCACAGCTGGGGGGCCCAATCCTGCTCAGTGCTGGCTCTGTCTCTCCCCTCCCATCAGTCCCAGGCCCTCGTGGACCCTCCCAGCCTGCTGCATCCCTGTGCGTCCTCACCTGAGGGAGCAACCAGCAAGCTCTCCGTCTTCTCCAGCTCAAAGCGTGTCGCCATCTCCTCCTGCGTGACCCCCTCTTCCTCCAGCTGGCTTTCTTGCAGCAGTTTCATCCTCTCCATCAGCATCTCCACCTCCCGCATGGCATCTTTACCCTGGCAGGCAGAGAGCAAAATCAACACCGTCCACGGCACAGCGAGGCTGTAGAGGGCTCACGAGCACTGGGCTGGCTCCTGGGCTGCCCGACAGCTCTGCTTTCACTTGGAGCAGTCCCAGGGCTGCTCCAAGAAGAATTTGCCCCCAGGTTCGTCCTGCCCAGATTCCAGCTGCTCCAGCACCCTGGGGGCTGGGAAGAGGGGGCAGCCCCGTGCTGCTGGCTCCGGGGAAGATGCTACCGCACAGCCTGTGCGTCCTGAGAGCATCTGCTACATCCCAACGAAAGGTCTTGGGGCATTTCCCGGGGGGAGGCACCGTATTGCACCCTGCCATGCCCTCCCTTCCCACCCCACTCTCCCTGCAAAGCAAAGCCCCCCCTTACCCCAGAGCCCCCCATGCCGTCATGGGCTGCTGTGGCTGGGGGGCGAGGGGGGCTGGCAGCTGGGCCCCCCGTCCTGCTCTGCCTCGGGGTTGATGCCGCAGCCAAAGACGAAGGAGGCGAGCGAGTGGTAGTGGGTGAGGAGCACCAGGGCCTGCACCAGCTCCGCCAGGGACCAGCTGTTCTCCCCCGTCTTCAGGAGAGCCTGAAAGGCAGACACACACGGGGTTTGGCTCTGCGGAGAAGGAGAGGGGACCCCCCCCCCCTGCCCCCAGGCACAGGGGACAAATCACTCCTTCCCCATCCACCTGGAGCAGCATAGCCCTGGCCCCCAGCTCAGAGACCCCCTCAGCCCCCAAAGGGTTAAACCCTGGGGCAACCCAAGGGTTGTGACCCATGGAGGCAAGTCCCCAAACTGAGGAAGGGGATTTGGGATTTTTGGATTCCCAGCAGCATCTCCAGCCTCACCTCGATGTGCTCCTTGGTGATGAGCCAGGGCCGGTGCGCCAGGAGCTTGTTGATCTCGTTGAGGTTCCTCAGCTTTTGGGGGGCGCAGTGCAGCCCCTGCAGCCACGCAGGGTTGCCCCCCACCTGCAGAAACTCCCCCATGTGCAAACCCACCAGGTAGGAGCACTGGTGCCGGGCTGCCGCCTGCGGGGAGAGGCGCTGAGTCAGCCCACAGCACTGGGCAGGCGACCAGCCTTGCTACAAGCCCTCGGCGAAGCCAAGGCAGGGAGCCACCTTCCCCAGTCTCCACTAAAGGGTTTCCCCCAGGGAGGAAAAGTCAAACCTGGGTCTTTGCCCCCTGCCACAAGGGGCAAAGGGGGTGCTGGGCCATGGGACAACCCAAAGAGCCCCAATGGCCAACGCAGCCACAACAGCAGGCCACATGCCCACGTTGTTCCCTGTGGCACATCAGGCAGGGAAGCAGGAGATGGTGGGACTGGGACTTTGCCTAAAGGGCGCTTAGCTTTCATGCCCCAGCAAACACAAGTCACAGCTGGGTACCCATTTTGGAGAGAAGGCCCAAACCCCTGCTGATCTTTGGCCAAAAACCCAGCTGAGGTGATGGTAGAAGTGGTGGGACACACTCATCTCCCTGCCCAGGGGACAGCCCCTGCAGGGTCAACCTCGGACCCACGGCTCTCACCATGATGGCAATGTAGTGGCGCTTGTGGTAGGGCAGGGGCCCGTCCATGCGCAACAGGAGGTACTGGGTCTTCCAGAAGCTGCTGAGATACTGAGGGTGCAGCCCCATGACCATGGCGATGTTGTCCACCCTGCCCGCCGAGACGAAGGCCTCGATGAAGAGCTGCCGCCGGCTGGAACACACG